ATGGTCCAACTCTCACATCCATACATGACTACTGGAAAAACCATACATTTGACTATAGAGACATTTGTTGGCAAAGTGATATCTCTGCTTTTTAGTACAGTCTAGTTTTGTCACAGCATTTCTTCAAAGGAGCAAGGATCTTTTAATTTTATATTACATATATTAAGAAAATATGTAGCTACAAAATATAAAAAAATAATAGCTTTCCTGCAAATCATTTATTGTCAATTAAAAATGTGAGAGTTATATAACTTATAATCACAATAACAACATAAACGTAAAGAACTTAGCAATAAGCATAAGAAGAAATATTCATGGCCATTGTAGAGAAAAATATGAAATTTCACTGATCATCTAAAGATAACCTAAATAGAGAGCTAGACCATGTTCATGAATGGTAACCTACTATATGGGAACAGATCACCAGCCCAGGTGGGATGCATGAGACAAGTGCTCGGGCCTGGTGCACTGGGAAGACCCAGAGGGATCGGGTGGAGAGGGAGGTGGGAGGGGCGATCGGGATGGGGAATACATGTAAATCCATGGCTAATTCATTTCAATGTATGACAAAAACCACTGCAATGTTGTAAAGTAATTAGCCTCCAACTAATAAAAATAAATAGAAAAAAAAAAGTGCAATATGTACATGTATAACTGATTCACTTTGCTGTACAGAAGGAATACAGCACTGTAAACCAATTATACACAAATAAATTTATTTAAGAAAATAAATGGAAAACTAGGTATTGTAAAGTTATTCTATATTTAAATTATATAATATTTGTTAGTTGTTGTAAACCATTTCATACATAGACTACTTGCTCTGAAAATTTTTAAACTTGATAACTGTACAAATTTTGTAAATGTTTAATGAACACTGGAAAGTAAGATTCAGTCTATGTTTTATAGGGTAAAAAGTTCAATATAGTTCTTAATAATTGCATGTTTCAAAAGCCTTGTAGCCTTAATAATATTTGGCTACTTGACCCTTCAAAAATTGTATTATATTAAAATTTCACACTACAGGTGTATTTCTGTAAGCTTGTACCTCTACAGAAATTTCATTTTATGTATTCAAGTACCTTATTAGTACATAAATATGCCTTATAGTTATCTATTAATTGGAAAATTAATTTAAAATGCCTTCACACCATATGGCAAAATACAATGCAATAGCTAACAAAAGAACAAAGCCATTTTAATCCTCCTCCTAGAGTAATGAAAATAAAAATAAATAAATGAGACCTAATTACATTTAAATAAAAAGCAAAGGAAACCATAGACAAAAAGAAAAGACAACCCACAGAATGGGAGAAAATATTTGCAAACAAAGCTACTGACAAGAAATTAACGTCCAATACAAAGACCTCAAGCAGCTCAATATTAAAAGGAAAATCCAATCAAAAAATGGGCAAATCTAGATATTTCTACAAAGAAGACATATAGATGGTCAGTAGGCATATGAAAAGATGCTCAATATCGCTAATTGTCAAAGAAATGCAAATCAAAACTACAATGAGATATCATCTTACACTGGTCAGAATGGCCACCATAAAAAAATCTACAAACAATACATACTGGAGAAGATGCGGAGAAAAGGGAAACTGTCCTACACTGTTGGTGGGAGTGAAAATTGGTTGAGCCATTATGGAAAACAAGCAGTATGAAGGTTCCTTAAAAACTAAACTGGAATTAATATATGATCCAGCAATCCCACCTTTAGGCATATATCAGGATAAAGACCATAATTCAAAAAGATTCATGTATCCAAATGTTGATTGCAGCACTACTTACAATAGCCAGGACATGGAAGCAACCTAAGTGCCCATTGACAGAGGAATGGATAAAGAAGATGTGGTACACATATACAATGGTACATATATACTACTACATATATATTTGGTACATATATACTACTCAGACATAAGAGAGAAGGAAATAATACCATTTTCAGCAACATGGATGAACCTAAGAGATTGTTATACTCAATGAGATGTCAGAGAAAGACAAATATCATATGATGTTGCTTATATGTGGAATCTAAACAATGGTACAAATGAATCTATTTACAAAACAGAAACAGAAGCACAGTTGTAAAAAACAAACTTATGGTTACCAAAGGTGAGAAAGTGGGATGGGATAAATTTGGAGATTGGGAAGGATATATATACACTACTATATATGAAATGGATAACTAATAGGAAACTATTGTATAGCATAGGGAACTCTACTCAATATTCTGTGATGATCTATTTTGGAGCAGAATCTTAAAAAGGGTGGATATATGTATATGTATAACTGATTCACTTTGCTATACAGCAGAAACTAACACAACATTTTAAATCAACTATAAAAATAATGTGCATCCTCAATCATGTCTGACTCTCTGTGACCCCATGAACTGTAGCCTGCCAGGCTCCTCTGTCCATGGGAATTTTCAGCAACAATACTGGAGTGGGTTTCCATTTCCTTTTCCAGGGGATCTTCTCAACCCAAGTATTGAACCCATGTCTCCTGTGTCTCCTGCATTGGCAGACAGATTCTTTATCAAGTGCACCACCTGGGAAAACAACTACACTCCAACAAAAATTAATCTAAAAATATAAAATTAATTTAAAAACATAAAATTAAATTTATAAAAGAACAAGTGAGCACTACATGGAAAGGGTTTCAACACATTAAGTTAAAGTTACAAGGTGTAACTTTAACAAATTAATATTTGTGAAGAAAAAATATTGTGTGTATGAATACATAGATCTCTGAAAAGATACACAAAATTGGGTAACAGTTGCATTAAGAAAGGGGAACTGGGTGACTGGGATCAGAGGAAGAAAGTCAGAATTAATTTTAATTGTATATCATTTTATGTCACGTGATTTTGCTTTACTCTGTTCATCTACTTTTCAAAAAGTGAAGTAAATTAAAAGTTTTAAATTATATCCAATAGTAAATAAAACAAAATATTTTAAGTAGGAAAGAAGTCACCAAAGGAAATGAATCACCAATTTACAGAAGAGAAATCTATATGTCTAATGAACATAGAAAATACTCAACCTCATTAGCAGTCAGGAATATGCAAATTAAACTAAGACAATAAGTTTTACTTCTCACCCATTAGACTGACAAATATGAAAGCTATCATTTTATGTCTTGGCAAGAAGGTGAGTAAATAGAAACCTTCTTACACTGCTGGTGGAGATGAGAATTTCTCTAACCACTTAAGAAATCTATTTGACTATAAATGGAATAATTGAAAGCTCACATAACCTAGGATCCAGCAAATGTATTTCTTTGATCTCTAAACTCTTGTACATATAGGGACACATGTAGAAGGATGTTTATTGCAGTAACATTCGTATTAGAAATATTAGAAAACAGTTGGGGGAAACCTAAACATTCACTCTTTATCTGTGGTATATGTACAATATATACATGTACATATATGTGTGTACATATATATATATGATGTATATGTGCTTGATATATATGTACTCTTGAGAAACCTGTATGCAGGTCAAAAAGCAACAGTTAGAACTGGACATGGAACAACATGGACTGGTTTCAAATTGGGAAAAGAATACATCAAGGCTGTATATTGTCACCCTGTTTATTTGACTTCTATGCAGAGTATATCATGTGAAATGTCAGGCTGGATGAAGCAAAAGCTGGAATCAAGATTGCTGGGAGAGAGATCAATAACCTCAGATATGCAGATGACACCACCCTTATGAAAGAAAGCGAAGAACTAAAGAGCCTCTTGAAAATGAAAGAGGAGAGTGAAAAAACTGGCTTAAAATTCAACACTCAAAAAACAAAGCTCATGGCATCCAGTCCCATCATTTCATGGCAAATAGATGGGGAAACGATGGAAACAGTTAGAAACTCTATTTTCTTTTTCTCCATAATTACTGGAGATGGTGACTGTGGTCACGAAATTAAAAGACACTTGCTCCTTGGAAGAAAAGCTATGACCAACCTAGACAGCTTATTAAAAATCAGAGACATTACTTTGCTTACAAAGGTCCGTATAGTCAAAGCTATGGTTTTTCCAGTAGTCATTTATGGATGTGACATTTGGACCACAAAGAAGGCTGAGCTTTCTTTCATCAATTGAAGAATTGATGCTTTTGAAATGTGGTGTTGGAGAAGACTCTTGAGAGTCCCTTGGACTGCAAGTAGATCGAACCAGTCAATCCTAAAGGAAATCAGTCCTGAGTATTCTTTGGGAGGACTGATGCTGAAGCTGAAGCACCAATACTTTGGCCATTTGATGCAAAGAACAAACTTATTAGAAAAGACCCTGATGTTGGGAAAGATTGATGGCAGGAAGAGAAAGGGACGACAGAGGACAAGATGGTTGGATGGCATCACCGACTCAATGGACATGAGTTTGAGCAAGCTCTGGGAGATGGTGAAGGACAGGGAAACCTGGCGTGCTGCAGACCATGGGGTCACAAAGAGTCAGACACTACCGAACGACTGAACAACAACATATGTACATTATAGACTATATAGAAAAAGTAATGCATTATATGTTTGTAAAAACATATAACCAGTCAACATAGAAACTTATAAATATCAATTGATCCCTATAATATAATATCAAATAATACTACTGATGTGCATTTTTAAAGCACACACAGAACATTACTATATATTGTTCATGGATATAGGAATATGTAAAAAAGAGGAAAGCATGCATTAAATTAATGATCACAACTGCTTAGAGGGAAAAAAGAGTGAAATGGGGATGAGGATAGAAAAAAAGGGAGATTTAGCTTTACCTATAATAATGTACTTAGATTAAAAATACTTGAAACAAATATGATAAAATGGAAAATAGCAGCATTACTTATTCAAATATTAATTGCCAATTCTGCATGATTAATAGAGATGTTTGTTCTATTTTTCCTGCAATTTCTGTTCTTAAAAAATTTCCCATGTAGTAAATATATCCCAAAATCATAAAATATGTATTTTTGAACTAACAGAACAAATAATTAAACTGAGGTCGATCTAACACTCAGTCTATTCTTTTTTTTCTCCCTCTCTGTTTCAAGTACTAACAGAAAATCTAATTCTTCAGAGTACATGATACCCAGGAAATACAGAGAATAGCAACAGGTGATGACCCAAATGATCAATAAATTCCAAAATATCCTGCAGTTAGCAATGGACATATGGAGTACAGTGATGGAGAGGCCTGGAATAGAATTTATTGAGAGATCCAGGCAACATCTTGAATGTCTGTCCATGGGCAGTGGAGAAACAAAGGTTAGAGCAAGTGTGAGGTTGGGAAACATATTATGAACTGGACTAGGATCTGAAGAAGTGAATTCTCAATATCTGTTACACTTCCCAAGCTACAGTGAACACATTTCACATTTCAGAACTTCAAGTTAAACACTAAAATAAAATGAATGTCTGCTCACATCAGCCAACAATTAGAAGAGATACTGGTTCTGACTCTAGTTGTGTCTCTTATGGGAAGAGATGTTGGCTAGGACCCTGAAACTGATTTACCAGCTGCAGACCATCATACTAAATCCACAAAGAACATAACTCTTAAACGACAAGCTGACACTCTAGGCCAACATAGAGTTTTTATTCCATGTCAGGGGTCTAGACCCAAACCCCAAGGTTGTTTCCTATCACTAAGATCAGGGTGAATCAGGTTGGGCTGTCAGGGACCAGATACAGGGCTAAGCAGATTTCCCTATGCCCTCCTTCCTCAACAAGCCCTCAGAATTTTACAGAGATCATGGTTTTCTGGATCTAATTGGCATAATTGCTAGTGGCGCCCCTGAACAGTGAGCCCAAAGAAAAAGCCTATGTTTAATGCTTGGTTTCATGAATCCAGTGACCTCATTTTTATATCTTAAATGAATCTGTTTTGTTGTTGTCTCTTTGGTTAAAAAAAGAGAGAGGAGAATAGGAGAAACTTTGGACTCCCCCAAGGGGTTAGAGAATCCCACTATTGCTCTTCACATAATGTAGAAGTCTTATAAGACAGGAAACTTGGAAATCTGCTTCATTTGGATATTTGAGTGTCCTTTAGTATTATATTTTACTTTATTTTTAGCATAAATAGAACTAACATTTCCAGAGCATCTATTTTGTATCAAGAACTTTAGACATACAGCATGATGGAATGAGCTGAGAGTATTCCAGGTAAGGATGAGACAGAGAACATAACACCATAGCAGCAGTGGCCATATCTACTTCCCAGAAAAAGACCAGTATTAAACAATCCAAGACAGTGAACTTCCATTAAATACAATAGGCATTGGGATCTAAAAGGATCCAGTGAAGGTAAAATGCTAAATGAATGAGGGTATAAAGAGGATATTATTGGCCATTGATCATTCTCAGAATAAACCAAAATTTAGTTTAATTTACACAAGAAAGAGAACTGCATTCAGCCAACTAAAGAAGAGGGCTAAAAGGAGCTCAGTCAGGATTTTGGCCTGCCAGTTGATAATAGAACATCACTCACCCAAGTATGTGAGGCGTATGTGAGGACATAAGAAATTGAGTAACATAGACCTAATCAGCCACTGTGGAATAACAGAGCTGAGACACAAAATAAATATACATTGGTAGTTATCAATTAGGAAATGTTACAGACAAAAATATAATGATTATAATTCCAACCAGAACTACAAAATATCTAGGAATAAAGTGAATGAGTGAGTGAATTCACTCAGTCATGTCTGACTCTTTGTGACCCCATGGACTGTAGCATACCAAGCTCCTCTGTCCATGGGATTTTCTAGGCAAGGGTACTGGAGTGGGTTTCCATTTCCTTCTCCAATCTAGGAATAAACATAACAAGAAATGTGTAAGACGTATACGAAATAAAAACCAATAAAACATTATTTAGCAATATAAAAATCACAAATAAGTAGAGAGACGTGTCCATTTCAAAGACAGAAAGAAAATATTAAAGAGATGATGATTCTCTCAAAATTGTTCTGTACATTTAAAGAGATCTCAATAAAATCTAATATGTCTTATTTAAGTAGAAATTAATAACCTCCTTTTAAAATTTGTTCTGAAGAAGAAATGCACCTATATAGGTAAAATATTTTTGAAAATAAAAGTAACATTAAAATTTTCCCCATCAGATATCAAAACATGTTATGAAGGTTTAATTATTGAAAAAGTATAATCAGCAGAAGAACAGACAAATAAATAGAACAAAATGGAGTCCAGGAACAGACTATAGATTTATAGCCATAAACATAGATAAAGATGTGAACTGATATGTGACAAAGATGGTATTTTACATTAGTGTTGAAAGAACGGTTGAATTTACCAAATAGATTGTAAACAATTGGTCATATTATTAGAAAAAAGAAAGAAATCCCCATCTGGTACTATTTACAAAAGTACATAATTTCACATTAATTAAACAGTTAAATGTGGAAAACAGTTATTAATTTTAGCAAATATTTGTAAATTTGGAGTATGAAATTCTTATATAAGTTTAAAAATTCAAATTTTAGAGGAAGAGATTTATAAATTTGACATCAAAATGCAAAAAATTTCTAAAACAAAACAAATATAAATTAAAACTAATAGAATTAGAAAATTATTTTCATGGAACTAATATCTGGAATATAAAAAGAACACTTACAAACCAAGACAGAAAAGAGAAACAATTCAATTGGAAATGGAGAAATAAGAAAAGCAATTCACATAATAGGGAATCCAAAAGGCTAAAAAACAAATGATGCTCAAAGATCACTTATAATATTGGTGATTCTAATCAAATTAAAATGAGATCTGTTCACCCATCAAACTAACAAGAATTTTAAATGATGATAATATAAAATACTGATGAAGGTGAAGAGGAAAATATTCTCATATATTTTTGATGAAAATATAAATTCATACAGAGCTTTGTGGAAAGCAGGTAGTGTTCATTAAAATAAAAAAATTGTATGTACCATTCAATGAAGTAATGCCACTTTTGAAAGACTAAAAGATAAATATTTGTATATAAAGAAGCATGTATAAGAAGCATTTTCAAAAATGTTTGATGTGATGTTGCAATTCAAGCAGAGTAGAAGGATGTGTTCATCTCCTCCTGTAAGGATACCAAAATTGCAACTAGCTATTGAACAACCATCAACAGGAGGACACTGGAACCCACCGAAAACAGATCCATGTCCAAAGACAAAGAAACTGCAGCAAGATGGTAGGAGGGGTGCAATGATGATAAAATCAAGTCCTATACCCTTCTGGTGGGTGAGTCACAAGCTGGAGAATAATAATACTAAAGAGGCTGTCCCACTGTTGTGAAGGTTCTGAACACCATGTCAGTCTTCCCAGCCTGGGGATCTGACAAAGGGACTGGGAATACCCAGGGAATCTGACTCAATGGAATTTGATTACAGGACTTCCACAGGACTGTGGGAAACAGAGACTCCAGTATTGGAGGGACTGGAGGGACAAACAAAATATTGCACACACTAAGACCCAGAGGAAAGGAGTAGTGACCCCACAGGAGACTGAACCAAAACTACCTGCTAGTGTCAGAGTGTCTCCTGTGGAGGTGCAGGTCATCAGGGCCTCATTGAGGTAGAAATTACTGGGCAGTCAGTGTAGAATTCTGAAACCTGGGTCTTGTTTGTAGTAAATATCCTGCTCCATTGTCCTGAATTCCTGGAATGTGTCTTTAGTCTGATAAATTATCAGCACTCAGATCCAGGGAAGAGCAGTAATTAAATTCTGTTCCATATGCCTGAGGGAAAAACAATTGGAGATCATTAATCTTAAGCCCAGGCATCTGGTCCATGGTAAAATGGCCAGAGGGCATGAAAAAGGGTGGTAACTTAATCCAAGAATCAAGGGAAGCCAGAAAGATGTTAAGTATCTTGACCTTAAATTGACTGGTTAGAAATAATGTGATTTAAGGAAGGATACAAAAACTGCTTTAAGTGCCACCTTGAGGGCACTCTTTACCCCCTCCCATTGTCTATGCTGAGAGCTTTGTACTTGCCTCATCTTTAATAAATCCTGTTTGATTGCTAGAATGAGTTTTTGCATGTTCATGGATTCCATTCTTCAGCTCCATGGACAAGAACTCGGATTCCTGTCTCATCTTTTGTGGGCTCATCAAGGATTCCTCAATGCGTACTCAAGATAAGCACAGACACTCACACTCAACACTGTCATTCACCTCTCATTACCTAATCTAACTGCACAGTCTCTTGAGCCACTCTTTGTTTCACAAGCCTGCATGAGTTCCAAGGCAGACAGAGTTAGTAGACAGTGGCCTCAGGTCTCGGTATTGGCCAGCCAACTGACCTGGAGGTGTTGAGCCAAACCTCTGCTAGGCTGCTGCCTCAGTGAGAACTGCAGGACATCTACCATTTCTTTTTCCTAACATTTAGAGGTCATGAGATTTTTCACTTAATGTAGTATCATTTTGGAGTGTGTGTAAATGCTACAAACCTTGTGCACTGCATAGTTTGCTTAAGGGAAACACCACTTCAGCATACCCAATGTTCAAGAGCATAGGAAGTCCACCAATCTAGACTCTCACTCTACCTATCTCTAGGTGTAATGGAAGATAGATACAGGAAGAGGACAAAGGCCCAGGGCACCTGGATAAGGGTAGCCAATCCCGGGGGCACACCAAAGTTGAGGGAAGTGTACATTATTGGTGCCTCTTTGCTCCCACTCCTCAAGTAGGGGATACCCTCTATTGGAGGAACCAGAGAAAAGACAAAGAGTGCTGGATGCTGGTCTTCTCTCTTTCAGATGGAAGCAACTTCTTTGAGTCCCCTACCTGGCCCAAAGCGGATGCCTTTGACATGTATACTGAAGAACTGGAAGAAGTTTGACCATCAGACCCTGTTAAAGATGTGTATGATTTTTTTTCTGCACTGAGGCATGGCCTCAATATGATCTACCTGATGGTGAAAAATGGCCCCCTGAAGGTTCACTTAATTATAATACCATCCTCCAAATAGACCTCCTTTGTAGAGGAGAAGGAAAATATTCAGAAGTCCCATATATATAGAGGTTTTCTTTGTCTTGAGAGAAAACACCCTCTTATGCAGGAGTTGTGGGCTTGTCCCTTCTATGTTGCCTATAACTTATCCCAAACCCTTGGGTTCAAGCTCCCCCCCTTATCCAGGGCTGCCCAATCCTAGCCAAGAGGAGCCACCAAAATTTCTGGCAACACCTCTGGAACCAACAGCAGCTCCTACACCAGTGGCTCCTAACCAACTCTGGTGATCTCTAGGCTATATCCTTCCTTCCTTCCATTACAGAAAGTTCCTAGTGGGGA